CGGTGCTGGCTGATGGACACTTTCATTTATACAATGAACGCTGCTGAGGATCTGCCACATCAGAGGGCTGGAGACGTAACCTCCTCCTTATTCTCTGTGATCAGGGTCCTCCTTTAGCCTAGCAGTAGGAAGCAGGCAGTCTGCTGATAAAGGAGATGCTGTCAGAGAATGTCAAGCAATAACAAGACAAGTGAAGCGCGGTAAAGGGACGGCACTCATCACTCCACTTAGCGGAGCCGAGGTCTGCTCAAGAGATGGCAGTGGAATAGAGTCCGGACAAGGAACAGGACTGATCCACTAAAAAGAGGAGGGTGAATCTTTCAGGCACAGGAACTGTGAGTGCAAAGGCCCTGAGGCTGGAGGAGTATCTGTGTTCAGCTAATAGGAAGGTTCCCAGGGAGCTTGAGTGTGTGTGTGTGTGTGTGTGTGTGTGTGTGTGTGTGTGTGTGTGTATATATATATATATATATATATATATATATATATAACAAAAAACAAAATACAAAACAAAACAAAAGAGAGTAGAGACTCTGTACAGATTCAGGGCATGCTGAACTCTGTGGGCATGGATCTAAACCCTGGCCTTTCATTCTGGTTCAGAGGGGAAGCAGTGAGACTGTGAGAGCCACAGCATCATGAGATCTACTTGGAGCTGCTGCTGCTTCATTAAAAAAAAAGTAATCATTTTTATTTAACTCAATATATCTAAAATACTGCCGCCTCACCCTGTAAACAATATAAAGTTGTTTACTTCCTGTTCTTTTCTGCACTGGGTCTTTGAAACTCAGCGAGTATGTTTTCAGTTACAGACTACTCTGTTTGGAACAGCCACAGTTCCAAGGGCTTAGAGGCCAAATTTGGCTTCTGGCTACTCTATTGGAGGTATGAGGACCAGTCTAACACTTATGACTTCCTCAAGGTCAGAGGTGAAGGCTAAAAGAATCGCCAGCCTATATCCAACCCCAGAAAAGGACAAGGCCTAAGGGGTGTTTGATTCTGAGGTCTTCAGTTGACTAGGTAGGTGTCGGTCATCAGGGCTGAATGAATGGGACAACACAATCCAGAGGACCTAAGACTCGAATCCTAAAAAACGGCTCTCTGGAAGGGTGTGACGAGTGATGAGGTCGCTTTCAGGAATACTGTAGCAACCTGAGAGGGAGAGGAAGAAAGGAGAGGCTACCAGGCCAGATCGATGGATTGATTGGATGTGGAGGATGGGGAAAAGGAGCTCCAAAGATCACCAACTGAGGGATTTAATAATCCACCTCAAACATCTGAAGTGTGAGATGCTCATGGGTTGTGCCCGGGGAGGTCTCCAGTCGGCCCACAGTGGGATAGATACAAATTCAGTTCCATAAAACATGGCAGGGGTAGACTTGTGTGTCTCAGAGTTATCAGGATGTGATCCTCTCCAACAGAAGGGAGGAAGGCTAGGGGCTGGAACAACAGGGGAAGAAAGAGGGTGGGATGGTCCTGCAGTGCTCAGTATTACCTGGAGAGCCGGTGGTCTGTGAGGGAGGCACCGACTGAACAAGTAGAGAAACGAGAGAGAGAAATTGCCCTGGACATCAGGCAGAGACAGTGCCTTAGAGATGAGGGTACTGACCATGGCCATCAAGGCCAACAGCTCTACAGTGGTCAGGTCAACCCAGGCCTGAGACTTAGCCAAAGGAGCAGGAGGCAGGGAGGGTACTAGGTTCCTCATTGAGAGCAGGTGGCCCTACAGCTGCAGCAGGCTCTCCTGAGCATCACCTGCAGTGCATCTGGACCCTCACCTCGACACATTTCTTCCAGACCCATTTGCTCAGACCGCCTTTATTTTCAGCAGTTCCTAGATCCCTTCACCATGGAGTACCACACTTTCTCTGGTTGATTTGAACTCACCTAACATTTGCTTTGTTTCCAAATTAATCAGTGGACTAGGTCTACGTATTTGTTGAACAGATGGATTAATAGCAATATTCTATGTAAATTCACCCAGAATAAGACCCAACTGTCTTACAAAGTGCGGTCTTATCACGGGCAGCACACAAATCTCTGAACAAGAGCATCCTCACACAGCTGTCTGGAAACAGAAACTCAGGGGAGCCAAGGGCTGATGAGGTGCATCAGCAATGCTGGGCTGGCCCAGAGCCAGATCACTTTGGGCCCAGCTCCACTCCTGATAGAGGCATGGCCTTGAGCAAGGCACACCACTCCTCCAGAGGATAGTCTCTTCACCTATGTAATGACCAGACTGAATCTCACGGCCCCCGTGCTCATCCCGTCTTGGTTTGTTCTTGGGTTAGAAGCGAGGAGTGGAATTAGAAGTTTCTTGTGTTCTTTCTCTCTGCTTAACTCTCAAAGGACAGACAGTGGGGTCCTGGCAGAAGCACAGTAAGTATTTTTGTGTTAAAGAGATCTTAAGGGACAAATTCCCTGTGTTCTATGAATGTACCCTGGCCCGGACTTGATAATCACCCTTTCCTGCCACTCTTCTCTCTTCCTCATCCATTCAAGCTTCTCTTCACACAGAGTTCTTGTGTGTTTATATTCTCTTGAACTACAAAGGACCATGACCCAACTGTGCCACTAATTTTGAACCTTTGGCCCTGCTGGTTTGAAGAAAAGAAGATATGTGATCCAAAGACCAAGTCAAAATACCAGAATGTTCCTGAAAGTTCCAGTAGAGGAACTAGGGGGTTTTAGGAAGTGGTAGATATATCAGATCCTGGATATTCATTTTCACCAAGTTTAGGCTTCATACTCTGGAGTATTAAACTGTCCTGTCTAGGGAATTCTGGAGGGAAGAGCGAAGGGAAGCAGTATATTCAGACAATGGTGCTAAGAGCCCAAACCAGGAAGGAAAAGGTGGATGGACCATGCCCACAGGCTTGTACTTGGATGGCCCCTTTCTGAAGGATGGAGTTTACGAAACCCACTCTGCTTTAGGTACCTTCTCTATACTCGGGCAGGAAGTCAGGGTGAGATAGTAACAGAGGCATAAATCTAAGGACAGCTTGTTGAGTTCCGGTCTGGAGTTGTGAACAGGGTGTCAATGGGCTACGAATAGGTCCCCCTACTCCTCTGCAAGCTTGCCCTCCACCCTTCCCCACCTGGCTCTCCACTACACCACTAGCTCTACTTGTCTTGGTTTCTGGCTGCATGTCAGAGGGGAGGTAGGCTAGGGGAGCAGAGGATTTCCCTTCAAGCGAGAGTCTCTGCTGTCATGGAGGTGGTCTTTCCACAGGGCTTGATCCTGACTTCCAGTTTCAGCTCTCTCCCATCCCAGGCCTGGCCCTTAGTACACCTCCTATACCTCAGCCAGGCCTCTGTCATGGATTCCTTCATCACATTGGAATGTTTCTTTCATTCTTGTTCTCCTCACTGGTATGCCCCCAGCCTTTTGAAATAAGATTTAATTTTTTTGTTAGTTTGTTTTTATCCTTTGAAAGTTCCACATGTCTCTACAGTGTCTACTACTCAGTTTTCTGGGATGGCTTGCCTGATGAGCCCATGGGCTCTTCCCAGCAGTTACTCCTTTATTAATCTTAGATTTCTCTTTTCCTACCATTCTCTAGAACTATGTCCATTCCCAGCATTTGCTTGTTTTCACTAGCAGATGTCTATTTTTCACCACTGACAACTTTCCGTTGGCCCTAGCTTGTCATACATGATCTGACCACAATATTCTATTCTCTGCCTGTCCCATGACCAACCAGGGGAAGACTTTGGATCCATTTCCACATCACATTCTGGCCATTCTTGTCTCGCTGGTTCCTCACCACATGGACAACTATTTTCATGGAAGCTTTTTCTTCTCGGGGTCTGGAAGTTGATAGTTTCACATTGGTGTCTGGTATGGGTGGCTTTAGAAAAGACCCTGACTATCTGTCTGCCATAATTTCCAAGAAGGTAAAATGAGGCTAACATGACATTAACTTTACAGGGTTCCCGAGAGAACAAAAATGAATGCAGTGTTCTGTAAAATTCATGTTATTTTCCACAAGGAGCCAAAGTGTCAATAAACGAGCCTTCTCCGCCTCTGCCCTGCAGTGACCAGCTTCTAAGGTCAACATTTCATTAGAACTCTGAGCCAAACTGTAGTTTCCTGAGCACTTACTCTGTGCCAGGAACTCCCCTAAGCACCGTGTTGCCAGCTGAGCTCCACGAGGACAATGTGTGGCAAAAAACTACAGATGAGGAAAAAGAAGGGCATGGGGGAAGGAATGTGGCCCAGGTCAGGACTCAGAGCCAAAACTGTCACCCAGGGACCTAGCTGAATTTTGATTTAGCCTTAATCTTGTCTTTGGAGACCAGAACATCCTCTTCAGTCAGGCTAGCCCACACTAGTTGGCTCTAAGGTGCTTCCAGAGTGATGGCCAGCAACCTTGAACTTCATTATAACCTAGAATCGATTTTTGTGACAAGCCCACCCGCCGTCGCCATGACAGGAAACACCACACCAGAGGAGAGAAAGAATCTTCCCATGTTAAAGGAAAAGTCATGAATATTCCTTCCTTCTATCAGACTCATTTTTTAAAACCCTGTATGTACGATATTCCCACTTCAAACAAGGTAAACATTACTTCTGAGCCTAGACCCCCAGTTCTCCATTCTCTGCCATAAATAGATGTGGACCCCTGGTGCTCAGCTTTGGTTTTTCACTTTGGCTTTGTGATAACCAAAGAGAAAAGATCCTGCTGTGGGGGGGCCTCTCCTCCATTTTGAGAGGGGGCTAGGAAGTTGTTGGAAGCAAAACCTAGGCAAGCTTGACCCAATTCTTTTACCCTACGGCCTCACTTCTTCTGTACAATCCCTGTGACATTCTGTAAAGCCACATCGAACAGATGTCAACTGACTACAGTTGACAAAGAATGCCAAATACTGAGTGACTGAAAACTTGCATTCTTGTTGAAATTATTGAGCCTTATAATTACCCTCAGGTATTGCGCATTCCAGCTGCCTCCCATGGGAGGGGCGATTGACCTTAGTATAGCCTCATCTTGAGAGGGACTCACCTGAACTTAAGGCGTTCTCCACTTCTTGCATGATCAGGAAGGGGGTGGTGGTCTCAGACTCACAGATCACTTTGCCAGGCTCAGTATCTTGGGGCACCTTCTCCTTGGGTGCTGGCTCTGCTGTGACATGGGCAGTGGGCGTGTGACGAGACGTGTGCCCCTCTGTTGGGGACGCAGGTGCCATTGGAGCTCCTGTGGGCTGGGTGCTGGTCACAGTGGAGCTGTGATTAGAGGTAACGGAGGCAGAAAGGGACTCAGATGGGGAAGTGGCCTGGGATGGGGATGTTGAGGTTGGGGCCTGAGAAGAAACGAGCGTGGGGGACTGTGACGCAGTGGCTGGCACACTTGCTTCAGGACTGCCAGGACTCTGTTCCGTGGGTGTGGGGGTCAAGTGGACACTGCCGCGCGTTGAGGAGAGGCCGGTAGGTGAAGAGTCTGTGTTGCTGTTATTCCTCTTCGAAGCCGGGCTGGTGACAGCCTCTTCTCTGGGGTCAGTAGAATTGTCCTGGGGAAGCTGAGATGTCAGCGATGTGGCAGTAGTGGGGATAATGGAGGCATTGTGAGTGCCCCTGGCCACGGGGGTGGTGGCCATAGCCGTGTTTTGTGCAGAGGTAGTCCAGGCGGCTGGAGGTGGGGTAATTTTTGTCATAAGAGAAACAGGCGAGGGGGCTGAGGTCGATGCACCCTGGACCCTCAGTCCTACGAAAGAAAGAGTCAGGACAAACACAGTTAATTGCATGAACGTCATATATGACACAGAGGTGGCCAATTGCACAGCTGTTTTACAGTGTAATGCCAGGTGTTTTTTCCCACTGTGCAGGCAGACATTGGATTGTGAAAGTGACTTTTAAAGTCTGCTCTTCTCACTAATTTCTCTCCTTGACTTGGGACTCCCAGTAGGAACTGGCCTGAAGTCCCATAAGAACAGGTAGTGGATCCGTCAACTCAAGACCAGCCACAGGTGGAAAGAAATAATCTTGTCTCCTGTTGGTTTAAATCACTGTCCTTCGAGGGTGAGGGTGAGGCGCTCTCCCGAAACTTCTGGCATTTGCTTGCATGACTGAGTGTCATTGCATAACAAACACCAGCACACTGAGGATGCCAAGTGTGGGTGTGTGTGTGTGTGCGCGCGCGCGCGCAGAGTGGACAGTGAAATCTGTGCCTGGTGACCGGCAGGAATGGGGTAGAGTTTCAGAGGGACCTCAATGGCCCTGCTAAGATTTCAAAGCCGGAAGGGCCATGGAGAGCCCGCCTCCTCCCTCTGTCCCTTCTGCATTTATATACTATGAGGCAGGGCTTGGTGGCTTTATAAGCACATTCCTATGGGAGGAAGAGGAGTTTCAGAATAAAACCCTCAGCTGTGGTTTGGGAGTATCACTGGAATTCTAGACTGGTATTTTTACAATCATGATTTTGTCAAATCTTCTCCTTCATATTTTGTAAAGGTTAGAGGTAATTCTTCCCTCGTCTACTTTCCCTTGATCCTAGCCTCCACGGAGTCATTCACTTTTTCCCTCGCTCCTAGCCTCCATTCACTTTTATTACTCATTAATTAAGTTTAACCAACGACTTCTTTGAATTAGTGCTGGTATCTGGCAGACACTGGGCCCATCGTCCCACTGTCTGTGTAACACGTCTCTCGATGGCTTCTCTCTACCATTCATCATCCGCCAACCAGCTTTGCCTCTGGTCTTTGTGTAACACGTCTCTCGATGGCATCTCTCTACCATTCATCATCCGCCAACCAGCTTTGCCTCTGGTCTTTGTGTAACATGTCTCTCGATGGCTTCTCTCTACTATTCATCATTGGCCAACCAGCTTTACCTCTGGTTATTTCCCTCTCAGTCTATGGAATTCCCATTTGCAACGTTCTCAGCTAAAAATAGAGATGCCATCCTTGGTCCCTCATACCCAAATCAAGTTCTCCAGTCAGTCACTCCCCTACACTCTAATCTGACAACCTCACTTTTCATTGCAATCATCTCAACATCCTTGAGTTAACTATTCAGGTGATGACAGTGATCTCTTAAAGGACCTCCTGGCTTCTGATTTTTTCCCAGAAGAACGCTCTGTTGTGCTTTTCATACACAATGGAGAAAATCTTTTAAGTTAATCTTAAAGTCTTTTAAGGTGTTTGTTGTTTCTCATTTCTTTTTGTTTGAGATGGCCTGGAACTCCAGAGGTCCACCCACCTCTGCCTCTTGAGCACTGAGATTTAAGGGTGTGTGTGAGCACGTACGGCTTCATTTTTCAATTGATCCAAACACTTCAAAAGCATTCTGTTGTATTTAGAATGAAATAAAAAATATCCCATGTCATCTTATTTTTTTTCTCGTGATTAGCTTTTACTCGAAATCACCTTGGACGCCCTTCTCAGACGATTCTAATTAAAATCATCCCCACTCCAGACATCTGTGGTGAAAATCACAGCTCATGTTTACCAACTTAACCATCTTCATGTGTCGCTCAGTGGCACTGACTTTATTAACATTGTCTTGGGGGTGTCACCATCCACCTCTGCAACCTTTTCATTTTGTCAAACTCATAGTCTCAGTATGCAGTCACTCCCTCCTCACTCTTGGCAGCTCGTGCAAAGGGTCTTTTTACATTCTGTGTGAAATTGATCGTCTAAGGGCCTCACGAAAGTTGAATCATATAGACTTGTTCCTTTTAATACATGTTTATTTCACTTATCCTAAAGTCCTCAAATCTCACCCATGCAATGGTATGTGTTAGAATGCCCCACCTATTGTCTGTCTGTCTATCATTTATCTGTCTATTATGTATGTATGTATGTATGTATGTATGCATCTATCTATCATTCATCTATCTATCTATCTATCTATCTATCTATCTATCTATCTATCTATCTATCTATCTATCTATCATCTACATACCTACCTACCTGTCTATCTACCTGTCTATCTATCTATCTATCTATCTATCTATCTATCTATCTATCTATCTATCTATCTATCTATCTATCTATCAATCTATCTACATACCTACCTACCTGTCTATCTATCTGTCTATCTATCTATCTATCTATCTATCTATCTATCTATCTATCTATCTATCTATTTATCTATCTATCTATCTATCATCTATCCCACCTTGTGTTTGTCAGCTCCTCATCCATGGACATTTGGGCTGCTTCTGTCTTTTGGCCATTGAGAAAACTGTTGCCATGGACACAAGTGCATAGATGTCTGCTGTCTCCCTGCTTTCACTTTCTTTGGGCATCTACCCAAGAGTGAGATTGTGGGGTCATAGGGTAATCCTGCTTAACTTTTGGAGGAACTGACCTACTTTTTTACCTATTTTTTTTACATACTTGTATCTCTTTTTGGAGTTCCATATTTTCATTTGTACCAAAATGTAAGCTTAGTAAGGGCACAAAGACATGACATTATTCATTGTTGTTTTCTCAAGGACAATGTCCAAGTCACAGAAAATATTAAATAAGTACTTGTAGAAGTCAGGCAGCAAAGAAGGAAAAGAAAACCAAATGCTTAAAACCTTCCTTCCCAAGGGGCTGGAGATATGGCTCAGAGCACTGACTGTTCTTCCAGAGGACCCAGGTTCGATTTCCACCACCCAAATGGTAGCTCACAACTCCCTGTAAGTCCAGTTTCAAGGGGATCTGATGCTGTCTTCTGGGCTCCACAGGTACTGCATGCATGTGGTGCAGGACAGAAACCATACCCAACTTCCTGTAACATGATGTGGTAAGTGCTTTATAAAATTAAAACCAAGTTTCATTTGAAGCCTCAAAGAAAGATTAAGAAAGTCTGCACTACAGGATGTAAAAATATACAAATGTCATTTTCTATCGACATTTAGGAAAGTCACGGAAAAGATGACATTTGAGCTGTTTCTAAAAGGATAAGAATGTACATGATACCACCTAAGATATGTGTTGTTCAGGATGACATTCGCATTGTTATATCCAGCAGAGCCAAAAGCTATTCTCTTCCATTATTATAGGTCTAAAAATGACTTCTCTAAGCGCTTGTTTATTGCTAGAGACTTCCACTTCCTTGTGCAATTCTTACTAATATACTTTTCTGCTCCTATTCTGCCTGCTTCCAAAGAGGTCTGGAGGTGGCCATTTACTTCCTATGACTACCTACTGCGTACTTCTTTAAAGCACTTTACAGTCCAGCTCAGGCAATTTCTACTCCTAACCAAGCAACAATGCACAAAATTACATGACAATGTTGGTTACCATCACTTGCATAAGGCATTAAAAATCTCAGCTGTGCTGTATTGTCTGTATCCCATTGCCCTGCCTGCTTAGAGGCAGATCTTCTTCTAGCATAAGGACAGGGGAACATACCATGACTATCTTAGAGAATGCCACCTGCATTTGTTTCCTGGGTGGTGGTGGTGTGTATAACTAAATACCACAGACTGGGTGCTTAACACAATGTACCTCAGTGGGGACATTCTTCCTGGCTTATAGATGGCCATCAACTAGATGTGCTCACATGCCCTTCCTCTAGGAATCTGGGTGGAGAGTGGAGTGAGGATAGTTAGCATTTCTCTTTCTCTCTCTCTTCTTTTTTCTCCTGTATCTTTTTTCCTTTTCAGATCGGGTCTCCGTTTGTAGCCCAAGCTGCCTAGAACTCATTATATCACCCAGGCCAATCTTGAACTTGTGGACTGTGTTTCTGTCTCATCTTCCTGAGTACTATAATGTCTTTTATAAGGACTCGAATCCCATCAGTAGGATCCCACTCTCTCATGACCACACCTAACCCTAATTAGCTCCCAAAGGCCTGTCTCTAAGCATCATTACATTTGGGGGCTAAAGTTTCATTATTCAGAACCTCTGTGGCATATGGTTTCTGCTTTTTTCATATGGACGACTTATTTTCTCATAAGCACACCAAACCGAAGAAGTCTGACAGGTAAGAATGCACACGTTCTGAGTATTTGAAAAAAGAGTGAGCATAACCTCTCATGTGCAAACAAGGGAGCAGGTCCAGACAGGGAAAGTCACATGATCCACCCTTCAAATCCAAGAGCAAGAACTGGGCAGTGTCTCTGAAAACAGAGTCAGACCTTGAGCATGTGATGTCTGGCCCTTCCAGGCATACAGTGCTGCATCCTCAAACGGCTGGAAGACATCGCTCTATCAGCCGCCATTACAGAACAAGCAAGCAAGAGCCCCCAGGAGACATCAGAGAAGGTTAGAAAAGCATCATGCTTCGTCCCATTTCCCTCCACAGCAGAGCCATTTTACTCTGGAAAACCAAAGGAGTTTTAGTATTTCCCTGAGGAAATGGAAGCTACTAAAATGAAGACATTAAATCCAGTTACCTCTCTCTTAGAGATGAGCCCACATTGCTTAAAGACAGAGTGACATTAGCAGACATGGTATGAACTGTCTGGGCAGTGTAGTGCCCACATGTGTCAAATGGACTGACCCCACTTAGATCAGATGTGGGGTACATGGGCACAAGGTCAACTTAATCTTGTTACTCCGTGAGTATTTACAAGCAGCGGCTGGTCCTGGCTTGGTCAGACTCAAGCTTCCATGTTGCAAGATGTGACAGATGGATGTCATGAAAAAAAAAAAAAAGCAGATTCTTCATTGGACAGACCATGACTTGCCCCCATGTACATTGTCTTGAATGGGTTATCAGTGTCCTTGTCCCCATATGCATTGTCCTGAGTGGGATATCAGTATTTCT